TTTGATGTTATTAGTAAAGTGCCTCAATTGTTGTTTTTCTCATTTTATTGGACTTCGAGGACTTTACGGCGAAGTACTCGGAGAGATGTCGAAAGGTGTATGGGAGAAGACGACCCCACTACAGATGGTGAATGGCTACAACTGGCTAGACGACTTACTCTTCAAAGACAACAGAACATATCGGGCAAAAAAATGCGTCTCACGGTCCTTCATAATACCAGAGTTGGATTAAACTTTGGAGTTAATCAAACTCTAGCTCATTTGGAAAAACATTCTTATTGGCCCAAGATAGAAGCAGATGTCTAACGGTGATAGGTTGTTCGTGCTCTATGCAGCATGTCAAAGCCATCCAATAGGAAGTTGGTGCTTTATCAGCCCAATACCTTCCTAATCATGGGAAAAACATAACCATAGAATCTGGGGATGTTTTCCACTCCACCATTCCTCCTCTGTAACATTGACACGATCTACTCCACCTGTTCAGGAGCAGGTTACCAAAGATGCTCCTTGTTCTACAATTCACAAATAAGATTCCTAATACTGTGTTCGTGATCCCATATCCATTGGAAGGGTCGGGAATCAAAATTGAGTTTAAGAACAATATCGCCTTGCTTCGCTCTCATAGGAATCGGTTGGGCTCCCTCTACTGTCGCACCCCATCATAGGATCATTACCCTCAAACTGTGGCCCACGACCCTGCCAAACAAGTCAAACACTTCTTTTGATGGGGTCCTACAATGATAAAACCTGACGAACCAAGCATACCTCTCTTATCTCTCCTGACCCCTTTTCATAGATTTATCAAGATACCTTCTTACGAAGTTCCGTTATAGCATCTATAACTTCCTCTTGTTTAGGGGGCAGCTTGACAAATAGACATCTATAGGAATTTACTTATCAACTCCCCACTAAGAATCAGTACTAAATGAACATCCCCCCGTAATAGTAAAGGTCCATATAGCAATGAAAGATTTTTGTTCAGACATTAGTTCATAGTTTCTTACTAAAGAAAGAGCAATTTTCATTGTGCATATCTATTTCTATTATGGTCAGCTATTAAAATTAGGTCGAGTTGCCCAGGACTCAATTTTGGTACTAGTTTATAACGATCAAAGTCGAATCGCGAGCCAAGCCTATATAATATAATGAAGCAAATTCAATGAAGTAACAACTGGTACCATAGAGAGGCAGCCAGAAGCAAGATAGTATTGACCAATTCGAAAGATCATTCAATGTAATTGAAATAACTAAAATTCTTCTTGTTCGGTCAAGTAAGGAAAATTCCATTGAATTTCTCCGAGTAAGGAGTGCAATTGCACGTAGCTTGAAATGGCTAAAAGGGAATCAAAAACCGGAGTACAAAGTGGAAAGGGATTGACTATGTTAGTTCATTGACATCTCACTCGCGTATCACCACAGATCGGCCAGTCTTCCCTTTCCATCTAGATTGTGGTTCATCTCTCATGGAGATCGCTCCCTCACTTGTGTACTTGAGCCAGCTCTATTTGATACTACTTTCTTTAGTCAACTTGTCTAATGGCCCCGTTGCATATGGACTCAACTCTCACTAGTGACACTTTACTGTGCACATATCCGAAAGTGGTGATAGCTTTCTAAGCGAGGATAATTAACTTGTGTTATGTCTCGCTTGGACAATGCTTTCCCCCAATGTTAGTCTACTAACTTGGTTACCTAACCTAAAAGAAAAAACCCATAGGAAGCTTGCTTGTGCTAGCCTTTACCAGCCCGATGGACTTGTCCAACGGACAAAAGTTCTATAATCGAGATCTGGGCTGGAAGATTATCCTTAACTGGTTGGGTCTATAAGAGATATAGAAGGACAGCATTGGTTGGGACTATGGCTGCGAATGAGAAATTCTTCCTAATTTGGTGGAATTGATTGATGTTGTATGTAGCACAAGGGAAGGGTATTGATGCAAAGATCATCAAACCTCAATGGAATGAACCTAGCCAAGTGTGGAGCAGCCGTTCTGCTAGGCTTCCCCACCATGTCCCCCGATTGTTGCTTGGCATAGGGTAGCATAAATCGTTTTTAGTGAAAGGGTGAGCGGCTCTTGAGAATCTGCTGCCTTGAGGACTGAAATGTTTGGAGTAGTAGAAGATGGTTGAGAATTTTGTGCTACAAAAACAGGCATAACCATAGGAGAAGGAATCGTCACTAGCAGTTGTTTAGGTGTCGTAGACCGCTTGTCAAAGTTTCCATAACAAGGTGATAGTGTACCATAAGGATGAGAAGTCTAATTAAGGCTAACTTCTTGTTGTTTTGGCATGGTTGAAGACGTTTGGCTCTCCTTGGGAGCCTTGCCCTCTCTTTTCACATGGTCAGCAAGTGGATTCGTGTACCATGTGAAAAGAGAGGTTCGATGGAGCAGTGGATGTTGAGAGTTGGATAAAATTCCCATCAAGGTAGATCTAACCCTCAATGAGATTTTGAACAAAATGCCCAAGTGTTATGCATCTGTTAGTGCTATGCCCAACATAACGATGGAATTTTCGATATTGGGGCAGAGCCTAAAGGCTTAGGTTTTGGAGGTGGTCGATAGGTAGGCAAGCCCATCAAGTTTAATACACTTGTCAACGGTCAACAAAAGAAGTCAATTGTGCTCTACCTCACTCGACTTGCATTACGCATCTTATTTAAGTTCTAGTAACAGTAGCTTCTTTGACATTTTGTCCACTAGCTGGTGAGACAATATGAGTCAAAGTTGTTAGTGCTATTCAAATAGCTCTAGTTCTTTTTCCTTTTCTTTCTGAACTTCATCATTATCATCAAAATCATGTTCCTTAGAAACTTTAGTATCATATTCGAAAATGTGACTACCTTGCTCAGGTACCTCAACCTTCTCGTCACACCCTAAGCCCAGCCGCCTAAAGACTTTGACAACACTATTTTTCTACCCTCTTCAATACCCAAATGGTAGTTTCTTAAGTTTAACTAATATCTCTAAGTTCTATATGTTCGTCATAATAATTCTACATTATGCTTATATACTAGGTTTTTTTTATTTCTATTGTCAAGAATTCTTCATTGTTACATATATATTTAGTCCCATTTTTCAGCTTGTAAGATCTTATGGTTCTTGATCCAATCCTACCGTCACGATCCTTTAGCCTCCCCCGTCGATGGAAGGCAATATCCTGATTTTGAAAACCTCCCTCTACACCCCTCCTTCCTCCTCAACTTCCACACTCACACTCCACCATGCCGTACTAAAATGAAAAACGCATCCAAAACTAATACATGAACAAAAGCCAAGGTTCATCTCCATTACTTTGTTTCAAGGATCTCAAGTTCTTGTCACGCACAAATTCTTTAGTTCTATTTCATCCTAAAAATCTGAAATGCCTAAAAACTAGATCCTACGAATCTGCATGATTGGAGCCGGAACAGTGGCAAAAGATTTCAGCTGATTTGGGATGTTCCGCCACCTTTCAATATGCCTCAACGGAAATGAGTTAATTTTGCACAAACAAGCGAATTTCAAGCCGTCACAAATATTTCATTACAATTCACCGAATCCGCATCAACCGAGAGTGTTGGAGGAGGGGTGGACTGTATATTAGATCTAGCCTTTAGGATTATTTGCACAAAAATGATATCCCTCATATAGTCAAACCCACTATCTCGCACCTGTTGGCCCAAACATTTCATTGCAGGCCACAAAGAAATTCAAATGTTTGGACCGTTACAAGAAACAATGTATTTTTCAAGTATTCCACAATGTAAATTTATCTATAGAAAATAACGATTCAAGTAATAAGCGATAATGAATGTACAAACAAGTATAACTGCTTTAGAACATGATTGCAAAGTTTCTTGAGCTTCCACAGTTTTTGGAGTGTCATCTGCAAAACATAAATAAGAATATAAGAAATAGCATAATTCAAAGATTTCAAAGATTGAGTGATGCTGTTAGGAGCTAAAAAGGGAGAAGCCCACCTATTATTACTGTAAGTAAAAATAGGAAGACAATAAAGACAGTAAATAGGAACTATCATGGAGAGGAAAACGTTATGCATAGAGTCACAACATCATGGTGCAACAGACTTGTACAAGAACGTTGAATGATTTATTTGATACTTCAATGCAAAACTGATGCTGATTTAGAATAGAGACCTTATTATTGATAGTGTGTGCATGACATTCAATTTCACCTCAAAAAGTGGCCCAGACCAGTCAAAGGATGAAACAATAACATAAGCTTGTGGAGAATATCTGAACGCTTGTAAACTTTTATACGGGAATTAGTTATAATATCTATAGCCTATACATATCCGTCTTAATGTTCCTAGTCCCTTGTTTGGGTTTTTTCCACTTTTCTTTTGATGTATGGATTTTTTTCCTGAAGCACATTTAAAATGGCACAATTCTTTGGTCAACTTATTGTGCTTATCGGCTGGCTAACCAGAAAATTAGTCAATAGAAGAGGTATTCTCCCCTTTCTTTGCATGCAACCCGGCAGCTTATGTGCAACCTGTGGCCCACACCGCCTATTTGTTCAGGGCAGTTGGCGTGACCTCTGATTCGATCCGGGTATTCAATCCCGCCGCTGTCCCAGGGTTGTGCGCAACAGAAATCACTAATAAAAACTGGGAGCCTTGAATTTAAAATAAAATGCATTGCCTAGCCATTGACACAACCAATATGTTTGATACTTTATGTACTTGTGAACCTTCACTTGGTCACACAAACTTATTCTATTGTCCTGAGGCAGAAAGACTTCGCTGGCATCGAAAACATCCTGGTCTAAGCTTTTAAACTTGGAAAATCATCAGCCACTACATGCTTGCACCCAAGCTATCAAGCAGCACCCATGGTTGCAGACGGAACTTCTAGCTTGTCTAATCATTCCTCAAAAGAATAAGTCAACCCCAGCCTTTTAGGGGGTATGATGAAGGAAAGTGGGGTTCCAGACTCCCTCCAGAAATTAAATATGCTCCAGAAATTGCATGCTCAATGTCTGCCCAGCTTAAGGGACCTTTTTAGCAAGGTTTAAATGCTCAGTGGCACACTCCTTGGCCAGAACTAAAGGGCAAGAGTCGATGTCGTCACCATGACACATGGGCAAAGGTCCATGGTAAGATGTTTTCTGGAACTGGCAGATTTGGAACCTCTCCAGAGTGAAGTTGTATGGGAAGCTCCAGTGTGGAAGGAACTGAACTGGCATCTGACTATGGGCATCATCATATTGACCCATGCTTACAAGCTCAGTGATAAAACCCCGAATCAAACTAGATTTCACATCCTTGGCCGACCTAAAGCCATTCTCTCTCTTCCATCATCCATTATTAAAGTAGATTTTGCGTCCTTGGGGCCACCATTATTCTAAACAGGCCCACCCCATAGGTTCAAGAAAATCACCCATTAATAGACTTTAAAAGTGTTCTTTGCACACATGGCTTGGCTCAACTAAAAAAAAGTTATAGAGAAAGAAAAGTGAGATATAACAATTAATATGAGCAGAATTATTCATAAAGAGTTAACCTTTTCTGAGGGACCTTTGTTGTAGTTGCACTTTGACTGAATCCTTCACAAGAATATTCCTGCAATCCAGTTAATTTGATTCTAATAAGTGCATCCAGATACATACTGAGTGCTTAACAAATCTTCATACCAATAAGGGCAAAAGAAATAACTATATGTATTACAATAGCATAAGTCAATAAAGCAAAATTAATTAACTTTGAACAAATGAACAGGATAGCACTACGGCACCGAAAAAAGAATTGGTACCGTACCCAAAGTCAATACTTTTAAAAGTCAAGTTACACTTTTTAAAAGTGAAGTTACAAATGCTTCAGGTAATTCATGATCAATCATAAATTACTTCAAACAGTTGTACTTTCTCATTTACGAGTTGTAACTTGACTTTGAAATTGTAACTTTTTTTTGATTGATCATACCCTTTGGAGTTGTAACTCACAACCCAAAAGCTGTACCTTTGTAACTTTCAATATAATACCTCCTTTAGTACTCTAGTCTTACTTTACTTTATATAATAGTGTGTGGGTTCACAATATTTTATGCTTGGTAACTTATCAATATTAACAATCATGTATATTTGATTTAGGATGTGCTCTTAGAAGCATTGAGGCTTAACTGCCCTAACCCACCACCCAGGTGTGCAAGACACACTCTCCACTTGCTCACAGACGACTTGAGAGCAACTCCACATGAAATGTGAAAATCGATTTTCTGGATTTCACAGACCTTATCTGAACTCATCTGTTGACACAGGCAGTCTGCCTTATGTATAGTGGTATAATAGATTGCAACAACCTGACGTCAAGCCAAAATTAACTTAAATCCAATCATCATAAAGAGTGAGCAAATGGGTCTTGAGCATGTGACATGGGCCAAAAAGAATAGACCACCCGAAGTTGGGCCACAACACATATTTAGTTGTTGATGTGCTACTTTTGTCACTGAGATTATAGTTAAACACAAAATCCTGAAGTATTTACCAATATATTTGGGTGTGGCTTTTTCCCACCATTATTTGCTGATCCATTTCATTTGTCCACAACTGAATTTAGTTTCAACCAAATCCACCACTAAAGCAACATTGCCACCACAACCACCCCTTACTAGTGAAATTCATTAACCAGATAAGAACAACAAAATCAACACCATGCCACCACCTGTTACATCTTTATCTTTCGCCCTCTCTCTCTAACCCAAACCACCACCATTTATCAAAAAACAACCATGGTAAGAAGTCTATTAAAAAATCAACTAAGACCCATCCACCATTGAAACGCCATTCTAAAAGTTGCTTTATACAACACCAATACGACTACAATCCAACAATCCCACAACAACCTCTCTTTTCCCTTTTTGTTCGGGCAGTCTACCTGGTATCATAATTCCTGCCAGTATTAGCACCTTTGACCAAATTTTTTCCAAGGATCAACAAATTGCCATGAAACTGCTATTATTTGTGCATAACCATCAAAACGACTTTTGGTATATGGGCATCTCTCTCCACTGACCCCCAACCTTGGGCTCTTTAGGTTCAAATGGTTGCTTCTTCAATGTCGGCCATTCTAGCGCCTCTCTCAATCCTCACTAAGAACCCCTATGGTTTAATATAAAGGAAAAATCCAATAACCAACCCTATCATGAAGAAAAAATTTATGCAAGTAAAACTATTGCTCTTGAAGAATTAATGTTCAAATGAGCATCTAAGTGTTGGAAAGTCAAGAAACAACACGCTAGCAAACAAGTGTGGTGAAAATGAGGCTGCAGAGAATGATGCATGGTAAAACACAAATGACGAAGTTAGGAATGAATATATCCATCAAATAGTAAAAGTAGAACCAATAAAAAAAAATTAGGATAGGATCGGCATAGCTAATTTGGACATATTTCTAGGACCTAATCCTGCACCGATGAGGACGAGTGACATAATACATATCAAAGGTAATGCAAAATATAGAGGCATATTGACATTAGCTTTGAACGTCACAGCAAAAAAAGGTATGATAGCTTAAGAGTTGGCAGAAAATATGGCTCTAGAAATATGAAAATGGCAAACAAGATTCAAGGTCAACTGGAAAATAGTTGGGACAAGACTAAGATATGTTGATTATAAAAGGTTTGTAAAATTTGGGAATGACAATGAGTCTTGTGACCAACGACAATTCGTGCAAAAACATTTTCACCTCCAAGAGTTTCAAGTTTCGAGAACAAATCAATCTTACAGAAAATAGGAAGTGGATAAGCAAAAGAGAGACCAAAAAAGCCACTCCCAATATATTTTCATGATTTTGAATGAATGCTCTCAAACCATTCTCAATCTTAGATATTTTTGTTAAAGAATCCAACCCAAAACTAATTTGCGATCAATGGACAAGCCCGTCAAGCATATAAATCAATATCTGATGATCCTAATCATTTAGTGTGGAATACAAACTCTCTTTGCACCCTCTCTTACATGGGATCAGGCTCACACATGGGACTAATAAACAAATTGACAAATATGCATACAAGCAAATGCAAATTGATAAGAAACTTGGTGCACTAAGCACCTAAGGCCTATCTTTGATATCATCTTAGAGCATCCAACACAAAACTAATTGACAATGAGTGACGAGAACCTTCTAGCATACAAACCAACTTTGGATGATCCTAATCACTTGATATAGGCCACAAGCTCTCTTTACATTTTTAACATTGAAGCTCTACATGAGATCTATTTTTTAGGCAACTAAATTGAGGCATTAAAAAGGAAATTAATGTAACCTAACATGCTCTAGACTTGTTTTGCAAGGAAGGCAGACTTTGGTCAAGCAAAAGGGTAACAACTCCCTTATCCCACTTCCTTCTTAGGGCATGACAAGGCTACTTGAAGAGATCTTGCATTAAACACGTGCTAGGGCCAAGGTTCATGCCTTTTCTCGAGGGAGTCCTATATGGAATTTATTTCACATAAAAGGTAAGCTAGATCATCCTTTTCGCTAATTTAAAAACATTGTCAAGCTATCAAACTGCGTTTAAGTCTTTGTAATATGACATAACAACCTTGACTTTTTAGAATGTAACTTCTCTATAGAACATTTTTTGGCATATGGGAAGTGAACTCATGGTCTGAAGACTTATAAATTTTTTGACATTCACAACAAGGAGAAGGGGTTTAGCAATGTACTTGGATCACAAACCGATATGCTAGCTGGACGATAACTAGTATGTCATATGTGGCATGTCACATACTCTAAAGACGATGCATAACGAGGATAGGCTTTTGTAAAAGACGTAATCATGAAGTATTACAACGATATTGGTCAGTGTTCATATTTTTTCGCCACCAAAACTAGGTAACTTTGTAGAAAAGAAACCGTTCACCATAAAAAAGGTTGTTGCAAGACAATAAACATGAAACACTACTTCAAATGAACTTCTTGACCATAAGTATAAGCCACATTGGATAGCCCACTAGATATATACTAATGATTGGAATAACAAAAAATATATTGAAAAACAAAAACATAAGACCGATAGAGAAACTAACAATGAGCGAAAAAAAAAATAATTAGAAAATATGAACTCAAGTACTTAAAAAATGAAGTATTTGATCATGCTGAATAGAATTTTTCTCATGGGACCAACAATCTTGCCCGCTAAGGGTAATTCGCATAGTGTTAACTCAGCCAAACATGCAAACTTGAGGCAGAACTTGAGCAATTTGTCTAGGTTGAAAAAATCTCAAACTCGGAATTTGATCGATCTATGTTTGCCCTCCAATACGTCAACAGCATTTGCAATTGCCCTTCTGCCGATGAAATTGGCATGTGATTGCCTACAAAAGGAATACAAATGACCACTTTCATTGTCAAAATGGCACTTGTGAATGCTTTCGACCTATGGGAGGCAAGCATGGATTGATTGAATCTCAGGTTCCAACTGTTTCTAGCCAAGACAACTTGTTCAAGTTCCACCCTGTGCTGGTATGTTTGGTTGGGTTGATAGTATGTGGACTTGCCTTTGCAGGCAACACTATGGTTGTTCCCATGCATGAACAATTATGTCAACAATCCATCTCTCCTGTACTCGTAAGTCCATATTTCAAGCTGTTACTCATTTGTAGGCTTCCCCGTTGTGATACTTTGTTTTTCCGATTTTAGCATTTTGCCATAATTTTTTAATGACATGTTTGGCAATCAGACAACTGTTACTCTAGTCGTAGTACACAGGCATTTCTGATTTCAAATGCTATTTCCATGTTTCCCAAATCAAATTCCAGTCATGAGGGTGCATCCTCTCAATTTTCCATTCCTACTATACAGTCCCGGGTCCTCTTAAGTGGTTATTTGATTTTTTTTATACCTATCTCACGACACAACCTTTTTTTACTGCGAATATCCTATTAAAGATAGTTTCCCAGGTTTGGTGGACAAGAGAACCTAAAATATTACCTATCAAATTGTCACTCCATATATTTAACTTTGTTCTCCAAATATTGTCATTTGCCCCAATAATCCTTGGCAAAGCCTTCACTCTCATATTGTCTACTTTAACAAGTGCATCTAACACTAGAGTAACTCTAAAGCTTTGAACATACAACTTCTCACAAGTGATACAACCCCCCGAGGCAACTGAGTGTAAGATGCTGCGAGAAGCATTGGTTTATATTATGTAGTATCTTGTCCAACAATGCATCTCCCTATCCAGCTTTGAACAGAGCTTGTTAGTCCATGCCTACTAGTTTATAGTTGTACAATCACCATTAATTTTACAATTGCCATATTTAAAATAAGTACCATCCCACGTGAATCCAGCTAGAGAGTGTGTTTAACATGTCACAATATTTTTCATATAGTTCCTCACTCCCTATCCCAATCCAAAAACTGATAAACAAAATTTTGACCCAATATTTGCTCAGGAATTTTCAACTACCATAACAAAGACAAATGTACATGTATGTACATAATAATTTTATTTATTGAGAACAGAAAATTAAAAAAAATAATACCATTCCTACAATGTTAGCAACTCGTACCAGATGGATCGAGTTGCGGATTATGGACAAAAGTACTTCTATGTTTTTCACTTTATCCTTTTAAAGTTTGGAAGTCTCAGATTGTACCACGAATTTTTCAGAAGTATAGCAATGTGCCCAAGTTGGTAGATGGCCTCTCATTCTCTTATGTTGACCTCCCACATGTCAGGAGACAAAACTAACTTCTTTATCGGCTAAAGTGTAACTATTAAACAATTTCAGGGGGAAACGTGCTGTGCTCTTATGATATCCTACCGATGTAAAACTTAATGTAGTCCAGTTGTTGGGTACATTACTATCCTTTTGTGCAAAGGAAGAGCCAGTGACAACAAAGAGCGTACCAAAATCTCAATGCCGGGGACAGGAAAGGGGAACCAAAACAAAAATCAACAATGGCGTCTTTCCTGCTTCCAAAGCCAATAACTTCTAAAAACTCAGAACTTTCCCATATACTCCCAACTTCCACTGAATTCTCGCGATTCAAATTCCGATTCCCATTCAGTGAAGCATCCTTATCATTCTCGGAACTCAATTCAACTCGAACATGCTTGGCTTTACATTCCAATCTTATCCGATACCCTTTACGATGTAGTAAGTGAGAATTTTTCGATGTGTAAGGCCAGAGAGAGGCACGAGATAATGTGTGGAGAGCTATCGAAGAAGGAAGATCCATAGAATTGGACCAATGTTGGTTAGAATTTACAGTAAAAACATCAGAATTAGCGGCTAATTCTTTTTAAGTACTGGACACTGATTTTGCTTTGGCCAGTAGAAGATGTAAGTCCAGCAATCAAGTTTCAAATAAAGCTGGAGAGAGAGAACGGTGGCGGAGGTGAGGGGTTTACCGTACGGTAGGTATACAAACATGTAGCCGATGTAGGGATATCATGGAACCGGAAAAACGGGTATTCATATGACAGTAATGTTTCACCAAATTTTTGGGTCAAATTTAAAGGTTAAAGGTGTTTCTGAAATTCAGTATACTTAATTAAACTTAGATAAAAAATATATATTAAAAAGTATTTTGAAAAAATGTACACCAGTTAAATATAAAGATATAAATGTATATTTTAAGAATAATGGTGCATTAAATATCTCTTAGTTTTATGAAAGAATTTTAATATTTAATGCATATTGTGCACATTAATATATATATATATATATATATATATATATATATATAAATACGTATAAACAAGTATATATAAATATGTATATATATATACATATATATGTATTTATATTTATACATATATATATATTTGTATATATGTATATAAATATAATATACATATATATATTTATATTTATACTTGTGTGTATATATATATATTTATATTTATATATGTATGTATTTATATACGTATATTGTATTTATATAAATATATACAAGTATGTATATATGTAGATATAAATATAAATATATACGTATATATATATATATATACGTGTAAAATGTAACATTGAAAATGGAAAGTGTAACATTAAAAGTGTAAAATATTACCTTATGTCTCACCTTACTTAATAGAAAGTGTAAAATGTTACATGTTAATATTAAAAGTGTAACACTTTCACACTTTTTCAATTAATTAGCATTTTTAGCGTAAGATGAGACATGTATATTCTATTTGTATAATATTCTAGGTAATGTCTCCTCTTACCTTGTGTAAATAGCTTATTACATTATTATTGCTACATTGTTATTGTTACTTTCAATATTACCCTATAACACTTTACATTTTTCATTAAGAAATTTGAGACATAAGATAATATTTTACACTTTACACTTTCAATGTTACACTTTACACGTGTGTATATATATATATATATATATACTTGTATATATATACATATATAAATATATTCATATTTATATTTATATTTATATTTATAAATACATATATATATATATATATATATATATATATATATATACATATGTTTATGTATATAAGTATATATTATAATATATTAATTATTAATATTATATTATATTATAATATTTATATATGTATATATGAATAGATATTATATATTAATAAATATGTATATTATACTTGTATATATATATCTATATATATATTTATATTTATATGTATGTATGTATATATTTATATTTACACGTATATAAATATATATGTATATATTTATATTTATACGTATATACATACTTGTATAGATATAAATACATATATACATATTTGTATACATATAAAATACATATATATATATATATATATAATACACATGAATCAAGGTGCATTAAATACTAAAATTCTCCTATAAAACTAGGAGATATTTAATGCACCACTTTCCAAAGAACATACACATGGATCAATGGATGAGAAAAATGTCACAAAAAAATTAGGCATATTCAAATTGTGTACTTAGATAGAAATAAGTATCAAAATTAAGGACTTAACAACTCTACATTTTTTAGTGTGTATTTTTTGCTAAATAAGTCTAATTTGGTATACCCCTTACAATTTACCCATAATTTTTATTTTTGAATAACTAAAATTTAGTTATTTTGAAGTTTTATTCATACTCTTGGAGATGCTCTAATGGATGAATGCTTTTCAATGGATTATGCAGAATCGTTGCATAAACATGATAGCCCATCTATTCGATGCTCCACTAGGAGAGTCAGAGACTGTTGTGGGAGTTGGAACTGTTGGGTCGTCGGAGGCAATCATGGCAAGCCTTGCTTTCAAGAGAAAGTGGCAGAACAAGCGGAGAGCCAAGGGGAAACCATGCGATAAGCCTAACATTGTCACCGGAGCCAATGTGCAGGTAACACACTATAACTTCATGTCTCATTCTGTGGGTTTGGTGTACCACTTATGTTTGGCCTGCTTTTGGCGGGCTTTTTGTATTGTAAATACTAGCTCCAAAGGTCAGGCTGAGGAGTCAAAACCCCAACCATTTTATTTCATGGATTCGAATTTATATTAATATTTGATTTGACTATAATTCAAAATAATGATATATTTTTTTAAGATAAATAATGATTTTTGTTGAAATTAGTTGATATTTCGATATAATTTGCTAAAATGAACTTATGAAGTTATTCAAGCGGACTGAATTTTTAGATCAAATTTGTCATTCTGAATGGAATCGAATGTGAATTATAAAATTAAAATCTAACGGATAATAAAATTGGATGTGGATCAGAGTCTCTTAGATTTGAATAAGTGGAAATCTAATTTGTTAACTGGTCTACTTGGCATCTTATGAATAGTAAATGCTAGCACAATTGATATTGTGTCAATAGTTCCCAACTCTCTCTAGTCAAATTGATGGCTCTTTAAGTATGTGCGACTAAATACAAGTTTCCTAATGCTCTCAATGCTTATATATAATATAGGTTCGTTGGGAGAAATTTGCAAATTACTTCGAGGTGGAACTTAAGGAAGAGAAGCTGAGGGAAGGCTACTATGTGATGGACTCGGTGAAAGCTGTGGAACTAGTGGATGAAAACACCATCTGTGTTGCTGCTATCTTGGGTTGGACTCTCAATGGAGAATTCGAAGATGTCAAGCTCTTGAATGATCTTTTGCTTGAAAAGAACAAGCAAACTGGGTACACAAGAGTCTTAAGAATCACTTACAGCTCAGTGTTGGGAATATTCAATTTTTCAATTATATGTAATAACTTATGTATCTCTATTCTGTTCAATTCTGCATGTGGCATACCCCAATTCATGGTGGATTCATTGCACCATTTCTCTATCCATAGCTCAAAGTGGGATTTTCGACTTCCATTGGTGAAGAGCATCAATGTTAGTGGGCATAAATATGGTCTTGTGTATGCTGGAATTGGGTGGGTGATTTGGAGGAGCAAAGAAGACTTACCTGAGGAACTTATCTTTCACATCAACTACCTTGGAGCTGATCAACCTACCTTCACCCTCAATTTCTCTAAAGGTGACTACAAACACATCATTTTGTGTTCTTCAATCATGACACTTGTTTTAGTTTCCTAATGTCTTCTCTCCACCATTTTTAGGTTCAAGCCAAGTTATTGCTCAGTATTATCAACTAATTCGCTTGGGTTATGAGGTGAGAGTCTATTGAGATGCATAAGTTTCCAAGGGTAAATTAAATTTTGACCCCTTCAATTATGACCTCAATCTAACTTCACAGCTTCAATTATTGAATTTTTCACAATGTCTCGTCAATTATTTGCACGATTTTCATGTTGTCTCAAATCCAGACGTCTTGGACGAAAAATGTCCACATTTGTAGTTAAATAGGTGTTTCCAATGTCTACAATATGTGTACTATAAGACCAATAACCATAGTTGGATGGATGTGCAATATAAATATAATATTAGTGGAGTGGGCAATGTGAAACTAATAATCGTTGGCGGAGACACATAAAGAAGGTCATATTGAAGAGGATGTAGTATAAGAGACTTAGTTGAAGGGATCAAAGTGTAAAACTCTCAAAATTCAATTTAACGTGTGTGGCTGCATATGTAGCTTATTGCAATATGAACTGATTGTCACAAAAAAATTTTGCTCTTAGGGACACCAAAATGTCATGGAAAATTGTCGGGACAACGCTCTCGCGCTGAAACAAGGATTGGAGAAGACAGGCCGATTCAACATTGTGTCCAAGGACAATGGTGTTCCGGTGGTTGCCTTCTCGCTTAAGGAGAAGAGTCGGTACAACAAGTTTGATGTGTTAGATATGCTGCATAGTTTTCAGTGGATTGTGTCTGCCTACACGATGCCACCAGATGCTCAACATGTGACAGTGCTTCGGGTTGTCGTGAGGGAAGATTTCTCATGCACCCTAGCAGAGCGCCTAGTGGATGATATCACAAAGGTCCTCCATAAATTGGATATCTTCCCTGCTAAAATAAGTGCCAATATGATGTCCGATGATCAGAAAGTGAAAAATGGCACCATGGTGAAGAGAACAGCTCTTAAGACGCAGAGGGAAATAACTGATGCTTGGAAGAAATTTTTCATGCATAGGAAAACCAAAGTAATTTGCTAGGACTTTGGAAGAAAGACTCTCTCTGTCTTTTTTTTTTTTTTTTTTTTTATCATTTTTGCCGCTTTTATTTTCTGTCTAAAATTTTATGGGGACCTAATTTACTTACTTACTCTCTCTCTCTCTCTCTCTCTCTTTCTTTTAACTTCGTTAGCGTTTTAATTCTAAATAGGAATTGTGTTGCCTCTTTCTTGCAACTTATAAGAAACGCCATTTCGCTTTGGATTGAAGATGTTCTGCTAATGACTTCTACTTTTTCCTCCACACATAAATATTATTGTTTCTACCAGCATGCTAAATAGCTATAAGCATGTTATTATTGTGAGGACAAATAGGAGCTTTGGACTGTATTCTTGTTAAGGGTGCAACTTGAGTAGGCCAACTCAAATACAACCCAAAAAAATAGGGCTTGAGCTGGAATTTTTAATACTTGGGTTGGGCCTGTGCCAAAAAAATCCTAACCCGAATTGAATTCGGACATGCCTCGGGTTGATGCCTCAGATTTTGGGGTTCAACCCGAACCCAACAACTTAAAAACAAATTATATACATATATAAAGCATTAGCACTAAGGTTTCATTTTTACTCTCTGCATCAGCACCTCTCTCGTTCTTAGTTCTCCATCTCTCAGAATCTCTCTTACTTTCTCTCGGCCTCCCTCTCACTCCCTCTTTGTGCCGAAGACCACAACAATGGTTGCATCTTAGATTTGGTGGAGATCTAGTGGCTATGGCACCGATGACCAAAACGATGGTCGAATTTGGTGGTTGTGGTGTGGTGGTTGTGTGGGAAATGTCTGTGGTGTGGTGGCTATGTAGGCAGCTACATGGTGGTTGTTGTGGTGAGGGGCAGTGGTTGTGGTGGTAGTGGCGGTGGCTATGGGCAATGGTTGTGGTGACAATGACAGTGGCTATGGGTAATGGTTATGGTGGCAACGAGGTGGCTATGATATTTTGAACTTTTTAGTTTAATTTCTTTGTATTGTGTTAGTGATTGAGTTGTGTAATTTTTTTTTATCTGATTTGTAACCCAAATTTAACCCTAATTCAAAAATCCAAATTCAACCCGAATCTACCTAAATTCAACTTGGGCAGTACTCGGGTTGAGTACCTTGGATTGAAATCAGGTTCGGGCTTGGGTTTGGGCTTGGGCTCGGGTTAAATATTATATATATAGGGTTGGACTAGGGTTGACCCTTCAGCCCGTCCGACCCATCCGAATTGCACCCCTAATTCTTGTTTCTCGCAAAGAGAAAAATTGAGAGGATATGAAAAATAATAACAAAAAACGAACAGAAAAACCTATTGTCATTAATGACAAGGAAAAGAAAATATAAATTGCGAAGCTTTTATGTTGATAAAAATCATCACATGGTTATCGTGGTTGTTGGGCCACTAGTATTAATAATTGGACTAAAACAAATTTTAGTAATTAAAATTTAATTTTTGGTCTATTTTGAACCTAAATTAAAGTGGGATCAATTCATCGTTTTGAGTAAATATTTGTGAGTACATGTTCTATTCCGTGAAGAGAATAATGTAGTATATTTATTTGTTCAAATCCAGTAAAAATTTTGCAGGTGCATATATGTATCAACTTCGTATTATGGATTGGGCCCTAAGAGGTATCACATTTTTGTGAGTGGAATAAGCACCTATATGAGCTTCGGTTCAACAACATGCGCGCATGTTGCCATCTCTTGCCCCAACTCGGCTCGGGAGTGGTGTGAACTAAACCAAATTTGTTTTTAGAGAATATTCATTTAACTAATTGGGTTTGAAATTCTTAACCCAAATTTTAATTTTTGCCCTTTGGAATTCAAATTTCGCACTAGTTTAAATTTGAATTCAAATTCGTATATGTTCATTATTGGGTAAACATTAATGATGTCTTCTATGTTGCATCTATTCGTATGATGGCTGTTTGAAATAGTCACCATTCTATCTATAAATAATCTAAATTCATTAACTAAATCAGAGTTAAGGACAACCCTCGCTCAACCCTTATCAAAATGAGCTAAAGCGTTAGGAGGGGGAAGGGGAGGGCTTTCATTTGTGCAAATAGATCCTTAATAATACGTTTTCACAATCCCAAGGAAGTAAATTACAATCTCAGGGAAGGAAATAAGATAGGACTCATCAACTCATGAACTCAGTAACTCAATTCTAGAGACTAAAATAATACATGGAAGACTCATGAACTCAGTAACTCATCAACTCATGAACTCAATTCAATCATCTCTTACTGCATTCCTTCCTAAAGTCAGAAATGGCGGGATGGTTAAGATTAACTATTACTACTCTTCCTCTGGCTTCCATTTTGGAACTATGAAATAGCATGGTTTAGTTATATCATAAGTAACCATTGAACCTTACAGCAACTCAAGCATTTTCTCCGTGTGTCATGATGTCGACACAAGGTAAGAGAAAGACTCGAAGTCAATACCAGAATCGTAATCTTATATTTTGATCACTTCTAAAATACATTACAAATTAAGGCAGTCATCACATTCATAAATTCGTCATTAGTAGCTTGCATTTTCTGAGAATACAACAAACAATTTTGGTTTGCTGGACAATTGAATTAGAGTGCTACTTTTAATTGGATGAAGATCATTGTATCTTAAGATGTAGAGATTTTCATAAGCACCAATTGTGGGAGCAAAATCTATCTTAAAGACATATTGTCAAACACTAGCCTTAATTTACAAAATTCAATCATAGTTCATGATCTGCAAACGGGTCAGTTTGTTTAATTATAGATTTACATGTTACTATTTTGTTTTTATTTGTCACTGTTTTATTCTAAATTACATTATACAAATAAGAGATTTCAATAAATAATTTTGCCACATTTGAAAAATACACCCAACATTAACGATGTTGAGAAGTATTGCATTAGTTTTTTCTTATCTCAATGAATATTGAATTTCTCATATTCTCCTTTAAATTATAGTATTTCATTTCATATTATTACAATTTCAAACCGCTGTTGAAACTTTGTACCAAAAAAAAAGTTTGTTAGCACAACATGAAACCAAATGACAAAGTTAAAGATGTAATTTGAAACCATTTAGGATAATTGAGGGGGCACCTTGCATATTCATTATTTTTTAACAGTAACTTGGATTTAGTACAATGTGAAACCAATTATCGTAAAAGTGGGACAGGTCATAATAGAGGGACACAACAAATCTCCTATAATAGTTTGAGGGGTGACGAAGTAACTAACCATGCTAACACTCCCCATTAGGGGAATCAAACTAAAAAATGAGTATTTGACAAATTTCCAGTAAATTCATTTATTGTAAAAAATATTTGAATTAAATTGTACAGGCCAGTGATTTTTGCGATGCGACTGATATTAGAAAAGGTAAATACAATGTTATTGATAAATAAATTAAAAACGTATCATGGATGAGCACGATGAACACAAAAAGCAAAATAATTATAAAAATACAATAAACCATCGGATTGGGCCAAAATTTATTAGATATGTCCCCGAGGAGACTACAATGAAGCATACAGCTCTATACAACTCTATTCACAGTGCAGTATACAGTTCGATATACTTGCACCACTTTTGGCATAGGACCATATAGTATAGAAGTTCATTTTAAGCTTAGAAAGATTGCCTCCAAGATGACATTTTATTATGTGACTTTGGTTCTATATTTGTTAGTTTTCGAGGTTTTTATATACACAGCTGGTGCAGCCAGGGAGTGTGGGAGGACCCCAACACACTCTGTTGCTGCCAGCTTAAGTCCCTGCTTGAGCGCAGCGGGAAATGCTAGGGCAAAGGTCCCTCCCACTTGCTGCACCAAAGTTAATGGGTTGATCAAGACTACTCCACGATGCCTCTGCGCTGGCCTGCTGTCGCCTTTGGTGAAACAGGTCGGTATCAAGCCAGCTATTGCTATCACTATCCCCATGTGATGTAACATCAAGAATCGATCGGGTGGGAAAGAAGTGTGGAAGTAAGTAACCTTACCCTTATTGTTCTTGAGATGTCATGCAATGCTCTACCCCTGTATTGCTACATAAGCATTGTATTGTGCATTGGTAATTTTATGACCCATGGAGGCCATGGCCCCATCTTCAAGTTTTTAAATCATGTTTCACACCTCAAAAATTATTTTTTTTTCATTTTATGAATTCCTTAAAGTTTTTACAGCTATACTTTATGTCTTTAAGTTATTATCTTATTTTTTTTATACTCAACTATTGATAAACTCTTTACACACACAACCATCCAAAATAGTCCCATTAATTATGTTTGTGAAAAATTTAATGATTCGTGCAAAACCAAATTCAGCTATTTATATGATGTCACAAATTTGAATGATAAATGGTGCAACTTGTTCAAATCGATATTTGATGGTAAACTCAGATTAGGATTATACCTTGAGAGAATAGAATATAATTTATGCAAACTCTACCTATGTTGGGTCCAAAGCCCTGTAGGATATGTATTTGAGATATTTTCACATTTTTTTGAGATAACTTGAAGGGGTTAAACCTCATCGTTACACATGTAATAACATTAAATGAAACCCACGTGAGGTTGACAAGACAGATCACGTGATGGAAAAATCATTCACACAGTCTTATAAACCGAGCTGTGTTGATTGACAGGTTCGACAAAGAAAGAAAGAGTTCGGTTCTCTTTATAGTCGAGCTCATAAATCTAATTCAACTAAGTAGGAAGAAGCTTGGCTTGTACCAAGCCGAGTCCGTTAAAGTGTTCGGCAAGGCGATTGAAGAGGTCGGTTTGTGCCAAACCAAGTCCTTAATCTGTTCGGCAAACATCGAGTGTGCTCGGCATCCGATATGTCCGAGCTATTTCAAATGATAGATAGAAAGGCGAAGATCCGCCTATAACTTAGGCAATCAGATAAATGAATCAACAAAATTATAGATATCAAAAGGAATTGCTGGACAAATATCAACAACTTCCCAAATTGAATGACTGAATCGAAGGAGGGTGTGCCACCTTGGATGAAAAATCACGGAAACCCTAAGGGGATGACCATCTATAAAAAATAGAGGAATCCAAGGTGAAAGGGACGCTAGACTCTCCTTGTCTTCTTCCATTCGTTCCAAAATCTTTACTGACTTAAGCATTGGAGTGCCTGCGATCGAAGCACTTCGATCTTGGGCAGTTTGTTTGTTTTTAAGGTAAAGGAAGACTGGAAGATCAAGTTCAGAAACACATCAATTTTTTCAATTCTAGTAGGAGGTATTCTCGATTTTTTGCCTCTTACATTTGGCGCCGTCTGTGGGAAAAGTTCCATCTTTCGCAACAAGAAGCCACAATGTCTAAACTCAGAAGTGCAATTGGATCACCTACAAGCAGTTTTGCCTTGGGAGACTCTGATCCTGCATCCATCCCTCTTGGTAGCAACACGCAGTTGTAGGCAAGAGGAAGCCCAACTAGATCCCATGAAGGCGAAGAGATGTCCTCCGCCAGTTTCAGGCCCTCGAAGAATTAGAACCATCAAATTAAAGATCGTGGTGAATCCCTCCATGACGAAGGGAAAAACCACTCCTTGGTAAAGTTAGTTCAGTCCCTATAGGATAGACTTGACGCTCATGACAAGCTGTTCAAGAAATCTTATGCCAGGGAAAAAGATATGATTAAAGAAAACGAAGAACTAAAAACCAAGATAAAAGAGATGACTAGGAAAGAGAAGCGTGCAAGGGAAAACCATTGGGAAAGTCCTGGAAGGAAGCCCGACAGAATCAGAAGCAACAATAAAGATCGTCACCAGTAGAAGAAACCTCGGGTTTAGGAGGAGGTTGCATGAAAACAGTACATTACTAAGGAACTCAACAACCGCTTGAATAGACCAGAACAGAGGTCGGCTAGGGACCTAGCCAGAAGAGCGACAAGAGAATATGGAGACGGTTCAGAGTCATCTCCATTTGCAGTTTGGATCAAAAAGGGACAAATTCTGAGTAAATTCACCATCCCGAACTGCAAATTATATGATGAAAAAATCGACCCAGCCTCTCACATCAGACATTACAAACAACTGATGACCATTCATCGAAGAAACAAGCCCCTACTCTATACTATCTTCCCTAGCAGTCTTGGAGAGTCAGTCATGAAGTGGTTTGATAGCCTACCGAAAGGAACGATCGACAAGTGGTCTCAATTAGCCGAGTAGTTCACAGCTCGATTCATAACAAGCAGTAAGCAGCCGAAGGATGTTGGAACACTACTGACACTAAAGAAGAATAATGAATGCCTGCGAGAGTACGCTCATCGTTATTGGAAAACTAAAAATGAGGTTGAAGGGTGCAATCCAGAGATTGCAGTTACATCCTTCAAGATCGGGTTGCCGAAGGAGAACCCCCTATATCAGTCGCTCACAAGAAGGCCAGCCACGGATCTGGAAGAGTTGATGTCTAGGATTAAAAAGTATGCCAAAGTTAATGACGACTTATCCAGGGACGGGGTTAAAGAGCATCCGAGCAAGAGGCAGTTCGACAAAGACAAGCAGAAAGAGCCAAACAGAGAGGGAGGAAGGAAGAATGAGAATGATGGATATCCTCAAAAGTCCCCATTTCTGGGGGTAAATACTTTGTTCAAGGAACCCATATACAAGATACTAAGCCAGATCAAGACAAAGCCATTTTTCAAATGGCCGAACAAGTTAATAGGAGATGCTTCTAAAAGGAATCCAAACTTCAGGTGTTCATATCACAGGGATATGGGTTATATAATTGAGAATTGCCGATCTCTGAATTTGGAGGAACTGGTCTAGGCTGGACATCTTGCCAAGTTCATAGAAGGTAAACAAAAATCCGATGGAGGGAGGACCGAGCCAAATGGGGACCACAACACTCTAGCAGGAGTGATTGATGTGATCTATGCTGCCACCAACCCGCAGATGTCCACAAATAATTTTGCTTGGGCTTATATTCAAAAAATAGCCAATGAGAGAGAAGTGTATGAGTTACGGCTGACCCCGGAGGTAACCAACAAAAGATTCAAGATAGAAGAGTCAGCCGAAGCAATCTGTTTCATCGAGCAGGACTTGGTTGGAGTTCACCAACCGCACAACGACGCCTAGTCGTTACGCTTCGAATTACGAATTTTGATGTAAAAAGGGTGCTAATTGATCTAGGGACTTCATTAGAAATCATGTATTCAAATCTATTTGAAAAGCTTGGTCTGAAGAAGGAGGATCTTAAGCCTTCAAATACCCCAATTATTGGCTTTAGTGGCAAAACAGTTCTTATTGGGGGAAGATCACATTGCCTATAAAGACATGACCAATTTGTGACATGATCAGTTGAACGTTGACCCGAGCTTCAAGCCAATAAAACAAAGAATAAGGAGGTCGGCGCCTTAGCATCAGGAAGTAGTGAAGGAAGTAGTGAAGAAAGAAGTAGTATGTTTATTGGAGTCCTGAACAATTAGGAAAGTACAATACCCGACCTGGCTGTCAAATACTGTTGTAGTAAAGAAGAAAAATAGGAAATGGAGGGTCTGTGTTGACTTCACCGACTTAAACAAAGCATGTCCAAAGGATAGCTTCCCCTTACCGAAGATAGATCAGTTGGTAGATGCCACTGCTGGACACAGGGGATACCATCAGATGGTAGTATGTTTATTGGAGTCCAGAATGGCAGTAGCACTTAGGAGATTCATATCCCGTGCATTTGATAAGTGTAGACCCTTCTTTCAGTCAATCAATGGAAAGAAGCGAGCATTCTGGAGTCAAGAATGTGAGGAAGCATTTACAAATCTAAAGGCATATTTAGCACCTCCACCGATTCTATCGACCCCAACACCCGAGGAAGGACTTTACCTTTATCTGCCTGTATCAGAGCAAGCTGTAAGTGGAGCATTGATGAGGAATGATTGTGGAAAGATGAAACCTATCTTCTATGTGAGCAAGATGCTCTTGGATGCAGAATCGATGTATACTCCGTTGGAAAACTTGCCCTAGTACTGATTAGCTCGGCTAGGAAGCTCAGACATTACTTGCAAGCCCACCAAATCACAGTACTTATTGATCAACCACTAAAGTCACTCTTCCATAAAGCCGATTTGTCAGGGGCGTGTTGCTAAATGGGCAGTGGAGCTAGGGGAGTTCGACGTTCGATTCAAACAAGAAAGGTGATAAAGGGTCAGGTTGTGGCAGACTATATCGCAGAATTTCAACCTAAGGATAACTCAGCATAGAGTGAAGAGACTACTTGAAACTGAGAGTCAAAGCTCGACAACGGTTGGACCCTATCTGTCGATGGATCCTCAAATCATAAGGGTGCTGGTATTGGCGTTGTTCTAGTAAGTCCAGACGGATGTACTTTGGAGAAAGCCATTAGGCTTGTATTTGAAGCCTCAAACAATGAAGCGGAGTATAAAGCCTTGATAGCTGAAGTAAGGTTGGCAGCCGACCTAGGGGTAATGAAGCTCCAAATATTCTCCGATTCACAACTGGTGGTGAATCAGACAATAGGGGAGTATGCAGCAAAGGATGAAAGAATAATAGCCTATCATGCCATTGCAGAGAAAGAACTTAGCAAGATACCTGAATATTTTATTCAGTAGGTCGGAAGAGCAAAGAATTCTCACGCCAATGCTTTAGCTTCGTTGGCCTTAGCCATTGACCTTGAAAGTGAAAGGACTCTTACTGTGATATTACAGCCTAAGCCCAATATTTAGCCGAGCAATTCTAATGAAGACTTAAGCATCGAAGCCCAGCCGAGCTGGATGGACCCGATAGTACTTTCTAAAGGATGGAACACTACCCGAAGACAGGAAGGAAACACATAAGCTACGTTTGAAAGTTGCTAGGTTCTGGTTATTACCAAAACTTGTGCTTTATCGACGTTCGTTTGGAGGCCCGTACTTAAAGTGCGTACACCCAAAGACAGTCCCAGACTTCTTATTTGAAATTCATGAAGGAAGCTACAGAACT